TATCAGAAGAATCAGCATCAGCATGATCAACATCAACATCAGCTTCAGCAACATCATCTTCAGTGTTAGCAGCATTAGTATCAGCAGCATCCGCATCAGCAGCATCTGCATCAACAGCATCAGCAGTTTCAGCATCAGCTTCAGCAGCATAAGCACTATCATCATTAGCGTCATCTTCAGCATCATCAGCGCCAGGAGCATCATCAGCGTCAGGAGCATCATCAACGTCAGCGTCAGCATCAGCTTCGTCAGCAACAGCAGCAACATTGTCAGTGTCATCATCAGCATCATCAGCGTCAGTGTCATCATCAGCGTCATCAGCGTTAGCGGCATTATCAGAGTCAGCAGCATCATCATCATCAGCGTCATCATCAGCATCGTAAGCAATAGCAGCATCAGCACCAGCATCAGCAGCATCAGCATCATTGGCATCAGCATCATCAGCATCAGCTTCAGCAACATCAGCATCAGTGTCAGCAGCATCAGACTCAGCCGCATAGCATCCCAAAAGTTTCAGAAGCATCAGCATAAGCATCAGCATAAGCATCATAAGCGTCATCATCAGCATCATCAGTGTCAACAGTATCATCATCAGCGTCATCATCATAATCATCAACGTCAGCGTTATCATCAGCGTTATTAGCGTCACCAGCAATAACATCGTCAGCATGTGCATTAGCATCGTCAGCAACAGCAGCAGCATCGTAGGCGTCAGCATCATTAGCATCAGCATCAGCATCATCAGCATCAGCATTATCAGCATCAGCATCAGCAGCATCAGCAGCATCAACAACATCATTATCATTAGCATTAAAATCAGCTACACTACTGCATCAGTAAAATCAGTTACATCAGCATCATCAACAGCATCAACAGCATCAACAGCAGCATCAGCATTATCAGCATCATCAGCATCATCAGCATCAGCATCATCAGCATCATCAGCATCAGCATCATCAGCATCAGCATCATCAGCATCAGTTACATCAGCATCAGTATAAGCATTGTCAGCATCAGCAGCATCAGCATAAACAGCATCACCATCGGCATCAGTATCAGCAGCATCCTCAGCATCATCATCAGCAGCATCAGCAGTAGCTTCTGCAGCATCAGCATCAGCATCAGTAGCATCATCACCAGAATCGGCAGCATCATCAGCATCAGTAGCATCATCAGCATCATTAGGATCATCAGCATCAGCGTCATCAGCAGCATCAGCATCAGCATTGCATCAGCAGAATCAGCTTGAGCTTCATCAACATCAGCATTATTATCAGCATCATCAGAATCAGCGTCATTAGTGTTAGCAGCATTATCAGCGTTGCACCATTATTAGCGTCATCAGCGTCATCAACATCGTCAGCAGAATCGTCAGCATCAGCATCATCAGCATCAGCATCAACAGCATCAGCATCATCAGAATCATAAACATCATTGGCATCATCAGCATCAGCCGCATAGCATTGCAAAAGTTTCAGAAGCATCAGCATCAGCATCATAAGCGTCATCATCAGCATCATCAGCGTCAACAGTATATTCATCAGCATCATCAACGTCGGCGTTATCATCAGCGTCATCAGCGTCACAAGCAATATCATCGTCAGCGTCTGCATTAGCATCGTCAGCAACAGCAGCAGCATCGTCAGCAGCATTATCAGCGTCAGCATCATTAGCATCAAAATCAGCATCAGCAGCATCAGCAGCATCAGCAGCGTCATCATCAGCATCAGCATTATCAGCATCAGCATCAGCAGCATCAGCAGCATCAGCAGCATCTGCAACATCAGCAGCATCATAATCATTAGCATTAAAATCAGCTACATTACTGCATCAGCAGCATCAGTAACATCAGTTACATCAGCATCATCAACAGCATCAACAGCATCATCTGCATAGTAATCAGCAACATTATCAGCATCATCAGGTTCATCAGCATCAGCATCATCAGCATCAGCAGCATCAGCATCAGCATCATCAGAATCATAAACATCATCAGCATCATCAGCATCATCAGCATTATCAGCATCATCAGCATCAGAATTATCAACATTATCAGCACCATCAGAATCATGAACATCAGCATCTGCATCAGTATCAGAAGAATCAGCATCAGTATGATCAACATCAGCATCAGCTTCAGCAACAACAGCATCAGTGTCAGTAGCATTAGCATCAGCAGCGTCTGCATCAGCAGCATCTGCATCAGCAGCATCTGCATCAGCAGCATCAGCACCACATCAGCAGTTTCAGCATCAGCTTCAGCAGCATCAGCACTATCATCATCAGTGTCATTATCAGCATTAGCTGCATCAGCATCGCATCAGCAGTTTCATCATCACCTTCAGCAGCATCAGCACTATCATCATCAGCGTCATTTTCAGCATTATCAGCATCAGCAGCATCAGCATCGTCAGCAACAGCAGTAACATTGTCAGCATCCACATCAGCATCAGCATCATCAGTATCAGCATCAGCATCACCAGTGTCATCATCAGCAATATCAGCGTCAGTGTCATCATCAGCGTCATCAGCGTTAGCAGCATTATCATCGTCAGCGTCTGCATTAGCATCGTCAGCGACAGCAGCAGCATCGTCAGCAGCATCTTCAGCATCCGTATCATTTGCATCAGCATCAGCATCAGCATTATCAGCATCAGCAGCATCATCATCAGCATCAACAGGGTAATCATCAGCATCAGCAGTGTCAGCAACATCAGCAGCATCAGCATCAGCATCAGCATTATCAGTATCAGCATCAGCAGCATCAGCAGTAGCATCAGCAATTGCAGCATCAGCAGCGTCAATATCATTAACATTAAAATCAGCAACATTACTGCATCATCAGCATCAGTTACAGCAGTTACATCAGCATCATCAACAGCATCATCTGCATCAGCTACAGAGGGTTCAGCATCAGCATTGTCAGCATCAGCAGCATCAGCATAAACAGAATTACCATCAGTATCAGCATCAGCAACACCCTCAGCATCATCAGCAGCAGCATCAGCATCAGCTTCTGCAGCATCAGCATCATCAGCATCAGCATTGGCAGCATCATCACTAGAATCAGCAGCATCATCAGCATCATTAGCATCATCAGCATCAGCAGCATCATCAGCATCATCAGCATCATCAGCATCAACAGCATCAGCATCGCATCAGCAGTGTCAGCATTAGCTTTATCAGCATCAGCATCAGTATCATCAGCGTCAGAAGCATTATTATCAGCGTCATCATCAGCATCATCAGAGTCAGCAGTATCATCATCAGTGTCATCAGCAGCATCATTAGCGTCAGTGTCATCATCAGCGCCATTAGCGTTAGCAGCATTATCAGCGTTGCATCATCATTAGTGTCATCAGCGTCACCAACAATATCATCGTCAGTGACAGCAGCGGGATCGTTAGTAGCATCGTCAGCATCAGCAACATCAGCATCAGCATTAGTAGCATCAGCATCGGCATCATCAGAATCATAAACATCATTGGCATCATCATCATCATCAGCATTATCAGAATCATCAGCATCAGAATCATCAACATAAACATCAGGATCAGAAACATCAGCAATATAGCATCATCAGAATCATGAACATCAGCATCGGCATCAGCATCAGCATCACAAGAATCAGCATCAGCAGCATCAACATCAGCATCAGCTTTATCATCATCATCATCATCATCATCATCATCATCATCATCATCATCATCATCAT